TTGTTTCATCAAAGTGTTCTTTATTAGAAGAAATTCAGTAGGTAGAACAATATTCTTGGAGGTATTATTCATGATAAGTTCGTATTCAGCTCATTTGCAGTCGAATGCATTGCTAGATTATAAGAACACCTCTAAAAATACGTGTTTCATTTGTTGGATAGAAAAATTCTTTAATTGAATGCAGAAATTACTCTTTTCTCCTTCTCATCAACAATTATTTCCTAAAAAATAGAATTATATTGAGAAGGGCAATATTTGAATATAATAATGAGAATTGGAGGTAATTCGGCTCGTTGGATCTGAAACCGTTGACGTGAGAAATTGTAGAGTGCTTCGTTAAGGTTCTCCGTATATCATTGACAATGTTCGATATTTCGAACTGACTTTGTAGCAACGAATTGTTGTTGTTCAAAAATTATTCTATTCGTAATTCGGAAATCAGAAAACTTCGAGAGTCTTGTGCGAGCAAGGAATGATAGGCGCCTTACCTTTTACCGTGTGATCCCAAACACTTTCTTGGGCCATCAGAAAAATTTCTGCAGTAGCATGGAATTGAACCTACGACCAGCAAGCAAATGCGAAGTAGAATACTGACACTCTGTCAGCACGGCTACCTGGCCTAGAACACATCTTGGCCTATACTCGTGTGGATTCATTTCATTCCAATGTCCAGATGATTTTTTTCATAGAACCCTACGAAATCAGTTTCTCACGAAAAAGTTAAATAACTTGGCAACCGCGGAGTCAATTACAGAAAATGAGAAACAACTGTGTAGCAATTTTGATGGTGCATTCGAAAATGCAATAAAAAACAGGATGTCTCATCCAAAAAACTCACTATCAGCCGATATTTTAAAATTCGTCTTGGACGATGGAGTGTCATTTTCCCGCACCTTTAACGCTGTCTGGCGAGATGATTGTCCCACTCAATGTGTCTGGCATAACTTTTATTGATAAGCAAATATAATCGGATACCTCCCCTCAAGAATTCAGCGCTACATCAATCGTACATTGCATCGATTTTTTCAACCCTTCACGGCCATACCACGGCCGCCTTCACCACTGAAAACCTGCGAGACATCCCGATCAGTTTATAATGATGTTGAGGCAGAACAATAAGGTAGGAGATATCGATCTATTAATAGGGCAATGAAATTTTTTGTCCGCTCTTAGACAAACGTTCCAGATGAACGACTAGAATTTTCGGAAAATTCTGAATTGGAAATGACTTAAGAAATGTCAGATTCTTTTCACACCTCGAGCAGTTATAGGTTCTTTTTTGCCATCCAAAGTCTCCAAGCTTGTGAATGTGGTGTAGGTCCTTAGGTATTGTTATTATTTAAGAATCAAGATGAATAACACATTTCATTATTGATTAGAATAAGTATATAGGTCTTCAAACAGAATATTGTTGACAAAGCATTACATGCTGTTTCATGGTTAGGTACATCAAAATATACATTAATAATAATAATAATAATATAAGTTTATTCAAAAACGTTTACAAAATATACATTGGAATAAACATAAAGGTAATTTGAATAAACTGGGAAAACCTTACGAAGTTAACCTTGTAGTAAGGATAAAAAATGAATAAATGTACATAGGTCAATAAATATTTAACAATATCAATTTATCACAATTGAAAATTGTCTCATTAAGAAATGAGACAAGTATTCAATTCATAATATATAGTGTACGGAGCATTTCATTCAATACGCATAATTATTTATATTCATACATACTTATTCACAATTATTATTAAAATTTATCTAATGATATTATTAAATGTTAATTAAAGAAATAAAATAATTTTTGATTGATAGATTTCATGAGAGGTGGAACAGAACATTCATGAATAAACTATGAGAGGTTGCAGGTCGAATACCTGTGCTATTTCCACCCGCCAATACCATCATCAAGAGATAATCCACTTTTATCACATGGCGATCTTACCAGCGCAGTTTAACTAAGTTGAGCGTTGAACCAAAGATAGGGATCATCACCATGGGACGAACACTTACAAAGGAAGAAGTGATTATCGCACAGGCTGGAAATAGTGGTGGCTCGACTAATAATACGGGTTGGTCGTCGTTTTCAACAAAACACATACTGAGTATCATAGGCTTTATTCTAGCAATAGTACTAATTCTATTTGTCTGCTTGGTCAGATGCAAGAGAATGTTAGAAAGGAAAATGAGAGCAGAACTCTCCAGGAGCAGAGAAGAAGTTTAAATACGACAAAGTGTCTTTGGACAGTGAATTGGACAGTGAATTGAACAGTGACTTGGGTGAATCTGCCGAACTATGGAAAACGGGAATATGTCATGTCTGGGATCGACGAGTTCCGGTACCTCTTTGAGGAATTGGGAGTGTTCCATCGAAATCTCGGAAAAGACAACAGCGATAGAAGTAAGGACGCGGATGTAACACAATCTAAGTTGAGTAATTCAGTAGATTAACGGGAAAATGTTCAGCATTGAAAAATTCAATTGATAGGGATCATTAAGGAGAAATTAGGGCACACTTGGATCAAATCAATCAGTATTTTGAAGCCATTCAGATTATTTTGAACAAGGGAGTATCAGCTAGAGTTGCAGAAAACATCCCAATAATTCCGAATAGTGACTTTGTCGGTATTATAGCAGAAAAATTTGATTTGAGCACAGCAGCAAGTTTGTTGCCTGCTATGTATGATGATGAAACGATTACAAAATGATTGATAGATTCCATGAAATTATATTAATTTAGATGCTCATGGAAAAAGATTATCAATTACATATATTCTTGAAACAAGATAGTCTCTGAGTGCGATAAGATTAAATGCTGATTACACCACTACTGCAAAATTAATTCGTGATCTAAAGCGAAATCTTCTGACGAAAAAGAAAGCATGAGCGCTGTCAATGCAACTAAATAAGGCAACACAATAACAAATCAGCTTGAGAATTCGGATATTCAGTGAATGAAAAAATTGACATAAATACATTTGCATGTAGGCATCAAAACTATGATCAAAGGACAATTATCAACATCGAGATGAGGAGTTAACAATTAGAGAAGATCTATTCTCAATAATTCTCGTGGTACTTTTCGCTCGGAAGGCCACGAAAATCAATATAGAGTTGGATACAGGATATTTGATAGTTACTTCAGAGGTGATCAGTATAGGAGTTACAGCGGTGATTTCAGAGGGAACTATAAAGGTTATAAAAGGGGTAATCTGAAAAATAATGCTAGGTATTTCAGAAATAATAATTATTCAAGAAGAAATTTCAGGAATCGTAATGAAAGATCGTATCACGTGGAGAATTCTTGCAATAGTTCAGAAGATGATCCAAATGGAAACAATAATCCATCTCAGTCAACTTCAGCTGATGATTGTTTCGAGTATCAGCACGAAGGGAAAATTTTCGAAAATGGGGTAGTTTTAAGGATCAATGAGCTGAATTATGTGTGAATGAGGTAAAAAAATGATGAATCAATTGTATTACTTGACACTAGGGCATCGGTTAGTGGTGAAAAGAATTCAGGATCAGAAAATACTGAAAATTACTTGAAAATTGTTATTCTAATCGCTGAATCCAACCCCTTCCTAAAAAATTATTTCGAAACAGATTTGTGTTAAGGACAAGTCTCACATTTATTGAAGACAATTCGTGATGAATTCATAATATGTATTAAAAGTGGATAGATATAATTTAATCAGGAACAAAATAGTTGAAGACTTGAAATCATCGGAATATTACTCCTGATGTGTCACACATAGGTCAACTGAACTTCAAATTCTAATGGATGTTAACATTGTTGAACGGTTCTCTTGTTATATTGTGGAAATTTCAGGAACAGGCACAATCAGGATAATATAACATAGATGCACTCTGATTTGTAGAACTACAATGAGAAATATAAATGGCAAATTCGACTAATGGTGAGTATTTACTCCATTTATTTATTAATTCTGTTAATTCAGATAACATCGGTGTAAGATCTCTGTTAATTCTTTCAATCTGACCATTCGATTTTGGGGAAGCTGTTGCAAGTTTTTTTTTCTTGAGGAGTCTTTCTCAATGGGCCATAATGGTCTATATGTATAGTCACGAATTGTTTATCTCTCTTTGGAATGTTTTGAAGTGTACCTTCGGATTTCCCATAAACAGGTGAGTGATTCAAAGATTCCGAACAACTCATTTGAATTCCAACCTTTCCTTCCAGTTCTGGAAACCAATAAGCCCTAGAAATATATTCTTCTGTTTCATCAACACCTAAATGATCTAAATTATCATGGCAAGTTCTCACAACATGGTATTCCATTGCTTTTGGCACATGAAACAGTATTTTATTCTTGAATTTTCTATATACCAGACCACCAAAATTTGTGTCCTCACTAATTAAAAGGACTTCCTCAATTTCCTTGATATTGAGGTTCAAATTTTGTGCAATCGTCAAATTTTGCTCAAATGTATTTTCTTCAATAATCAAGAGAGAATCGACTCTACTTAGAGCATCAACATGCTTCATTCTATTCCCATCACGGTGCTCTGAATCATAATTTTGCGAAACGATATCTTTCATCTGTTTCTAAAGCGGAAAATCTATAGTTCAGGATTTACATTAATATTAGATTCTCTAGTATCTCCGACATCAATCAACATAAGATCATTTAAAACAATAATGTCACTTTTTCTTCTGATAATAAGGTCACTCTCAATAATAATTTCAAAATCCCTAAGCGAAGTCCCTTCCTAATAATGCAAAAAATGCATTGTACACTCTGGTACGACATAAAAAGTTACAGTTATCATATTTTGAATTCTTACTGGATGATCATAAACACCTAAAATGTTTAACTTCGCACCATCAATACCGTGAAAATCTTCAGTGTCATTTATTTTTACAAGCTACAATCAAGCTAATAGGGCTACCTGTATCAAGGCAAGCTTTCAGATTCACCATATCTGTTGTTCTATTATTGTCATCAAAAGTCAGCTGAACTGTTATCATATAAGCCACAGGTGAGCTAGGTCCACAATCAAGGTGCTCCTATCACTGGCAGGAACTGTCCTCGATGTAGATTGAGAATTTGGACAATCTCTCCTCAAATGCTCTATAGAATCACAACCATAACATGATCCTCTTGGGCGACGTGATTTTGAGAAATTTTGAACTGGGTGCCCTGGTTCATTACAATAGTGGCATCTGACTAAATGAGTATTCTTAGAGCTTGATGAACTTGTGCTCTTCACATTCTGCTCTTGCTGATTTCCTTTGGTAACTCCACTTCTCTCCTGTTGACCTCCTCTACCAATTTCCTTCCTTTCATTGAATCTGCCTCTCCTAGAATCACCAACCCTTTCATAATCAAGGATATCACGGAACAGTTCATCTACATCCATGTGTACTTTTGAGAGTACGAAGTTACTCAAATCTCTGGAAATGAGGCCAATTATAATTTGTTCCCTGATTTCATTGGTGGTGGGATTAAGCTCACAACAGAGGGCTACTTTCTTATGAGAATAAAAAGATATATTTTCTTTGGGCTGCTGTACCCTGTGTGTCATTAATTTCCATAAGTCAGTCTTATGTCGTTCAGGAATGAAAGTTTTCTGGAAAACTAGTCTGAAAGAGTTCCAGTCTTTCAGGTAATCAGCTCGTCCACTAGACCAATACTTGGCAGCACCTTCCAAATGACTTTCAGCTGTGTCATACTTATCTATGGTTTTTGAAAGATCTGGCATGACATTGAAGTTATGGGTGATGGCATTTTCAAAATCCTATGAGGTCCTTTGGGTTTGTGATAGCTGTAGCATATTCAATGTACGAGTGTTTTGTTCTGATATCCAAAGCACAATCGGAATCCCACGAAATATGCAAATTTGAAAAAGCTAACCTATAACCACTGATGAGACTGATGGGAGAGCTGCCATTTTTTCATTCAATTTGATGGGAGGGAGCCAATCAGAAGCGTTCCCGGTTTCCTTCTCTCAAAAATTTTGATAGATGCACAAGTAATTCCCTAGGGAGCGCTCCTCTTGTGTTATTCAGTTCAAGAATATGATTTTCAGTTTCGGGCAGTGGACACGCCCACTATCTCTCGATTGTTTCACTCCTCGATTTTCCAGAATCGCGGCTTTGATGTCCAGCCACCCACAGCAGAGTGACTCTGTTATGTTATCGGTCCCCATTATTATGAGTAGCATTGTACATTATGAAAAAACATTTATATACGAAATCACCTGTACCTCTCCAAATAATGCAGAATCCATAAAAACTTGTATTTGTATAAAAACAACAACGTTGTTTGGAACGTGAAAAGAAGCGAACAATAAAGCAGTTGATTCCCGACTCTCGTCTATGATTTCTGACACCTTTACAACACACCCCACTCACATGGAACCTAACCCAACCTTCCTACATTCAGATAGCTTCTTCATTTCGGGAAATCAGCAGCTTGATATGTGAACAGGGTGTCCTGAGATGAAACTGACAAAATTCTATATGCGATATTAAATATGGGGATTACTAGATTGAGAATAACTCACCCTGAATAATAATTATCAAGGATCTGAGCTCATATCATGAATCTACGGAAAAAATAATATAAGAACTTGTTGAAGACGTTCCAGGAACTATTTGAGTTATTCCGTGATGAATTATTATTTCAATTTTCCTCATTCATTGTCGGATACAATATCATAAAAAATTTAAATATTAAAATATTCACGTAACCAAGACATTGTTTCTATTATTTCTCATTACTTTGTAGTATATTCCATAAATTACTGTCATAACCTAAAAAACTTGAAGAATGCATTTGTTTCAGGGCCGGAATGAGTCTTTTTATGTTCTCGTAAGTAAAACTGACCTAGTTTAACAAGTATCATTTATCTGATCGTAGATACTAGATCAACTAAAATCGTATAAGAACTTGCATTTTTATGCTAGTGAGAGTTTTTTGCGAATTATTTGTTTTTGTTTGTTGTTCATTACATGCAAAAAATTATTTTTTGTGTCTCGTATTTTTATAAATTCTAATTAATCTGTGAGCAAATACAATCAACGAAATATTCAAAAGGTACGATCAGATTCATGTTAATTGTTATATTAGGTCGATTAAACTGAGACACTCCGCCCCTTTCGTTTGATGTACTTACACATGTGTTTCGAGACCTCGTCCTTTTAAACTTTGCGCGTCACGGTTCCCGGTTCTCAGAATATCAGGTTGAACTCACAGAACTATTCGTGATGCAACTTTGCCATATCAACGATAATATCTTGATATCAGGGATTTACTCCTTTTGAAATTCCTCAAACTTACACAGTGAAAAAAAATTGGGTGTAATTTCAATCACATCGATTTCAGAAAAAGATCCGATGAAATAAACACCTGAATATCATAGTTTAGTTCATTTTATTTTATATTTCATAAAATAGTGTTCGGTGTTGTGAACTCTGACCTTAGTAGTGAGACATGACACGGATCTGGTGATGTAGAGAGATTGTGAAAGATACATTTGAAATAAACACCAAATGGTTAAAAAGTAATATTCTTATTGGTGCGATTATTCATTTTAATGTGGAATATATACTAATTTTACGAAATTATCACCAAGTTTAACCGTGTCAAATCACAATTGAATCGAAGACGTGTATGAATCATCAAATTTGGAGACAATATTCACTCTTTGAATTTCACATCCTGAGGACACCAGATTCGACAGGGATTAATAGAAATATTGCATGTAAGTATATGAAATGGTGTGAATTTTATGCACTTCTGGTGGATGAACAAACAGCAACACTACCTATAAGCTCATTCTTGCAAAATAATGATGGAATTATCACCAAGCTATTGTTAATGAAATATATTGAGTGTATCGGTGTACTCCAAAGTTTCATACCTCACAACAAATGAGAAACAACATTCAACATGGTTGCCAATTCTCAGATGCACAAAATGATAGCAGAAAGCGAGGCAGGAAGTGGATACCTACCCCATTTCATGATATTGTAACAAACTTTCAGTTTGTATCGTTGGATACCTAATACATTATACAAGGAATCAGTTTTCATTCGTAAGGATCCGATAAAATTGATAATTTCGTGGAAAAACTTTGACGTCGCCTGAAAATAAGTTTTCAAATAAGAGAACACAAACTTGTGATTGTCCCATCCTATAAAAAATCATGGAAATGGAAATTGTTGTAGTTGTAGTTAAGTTTCATATTTTCTGATTCAAGTTTGAGAATTTCTCTCGAACACTTGAGAAAATATTACCAAGATTTCATAATAGATGCCGATACTGTGAATCGGCATTATTTATTGGCGATATCTGAATTCAATGAAGTTTTAGTTCGTGATGATTAAAAAAACTCAATAATGATTTCAAGTTACGACTATCATGGGAATTCGGTACACCTATATACGCACATCATCATATACACATTAAACATAATATAATGGGTATATCAGGTTTCACAACACAAATTCTGGATATAAATTATCGAGAATTATTGGAAAATCATTACTCATCGTTGGGAAAACCGCATTTGTGAAATATAATTTGTAGACATCTCTAGACAATTTCCATTAATAAAATTGATCAGATAAATTTTTGCATTTTTGTGATCATCACAATATCGGATAGCACAAAACAAATTCTGACATCAGGCAACACTGCTCCTCACTATAGGCGACCTCGTCCGCCAACGGCAAACCCCGCCATTTCGTTTTGCGACGCCGACTAACATAGTACCGATCAAAACAATGATGTGCATAAAAATTTGCTTTCGCTCATGTGAGAAGTGGGTTGTTGTCGGGGAAAGTGCGGAAGAAATTATTTCTGAAGGTAAGTGAGAAATATCATGTTTAAGATGTTGATATCATTTCGTATGACTGGACTTTGGATTCTGTCTAGATATAGATATAGGTAGATGAAATACATTATTTATAATAAAAATTGACCAATTATCACTCAATATTCTTACGTTCAGACTATATGTTGAAGCCATGCTTGGATTAATCATCAAATCTAGACACATACTAGTAGGGTAGTAGATTAGTCTAGGAGTTTTCCAATTATTCAAGCAAGAAAAGTGTAGGTAGGTACCTACCTGACAAAAAAACTAACATACCTATCTATTCCTATGAATTGTTCGGTGTGATTCAACACCATCAGGTGTAATTTAACACCGTTCAACACTAGCAGGTGTTGTCTCGTTTGTTAATTCATTAAATCAAGCAGTAGGATTCGCGATAGTGGGTAATTCCTATATCATCATCTTTCAAAAGTCTGGGAACTATGTCATATTTCAGAAACGGCTCAAAGAAAATTGATGGAATTTTATACAGGATAGGTACCGTAGAATGGGACAGAATATTTTTTAAAAAGTCTAGGGAATCACCCCTTGAATTTCGGCTCATTTTCAATCGGTTTGAAAATATGATATATAAAGACAGAGTTCCAATACCACATCAATCAAATGTAATATACTGCATTCCTTGTTCAAACTGCAACCATGAATACATAGGCCAGACTTCTAGGTTACTCAAAGACCGCATAACGTCCCACAAAAGTGACAGCAGACTGCACCCTGAAAGATGTGCTCTTAGCGAACATGTGTTCAAAGAAGGTCATAACATGGACTATAATTCCACCAAAATCTTAGCAAAAGAAAAGAATAATACAAAACGGATTTTTTTGGAAATGACATTTATATCCCAATCTATGAACAGCTTAAATAAAAGAACAGATCTGAATCATTTAAGTGAAATTCATTCATACTTACTTTTGTTAGATAAGAATCCCAGAGCTCTCAACAACATTTCAACTTTTTAAATACATCCAATAATATAGTTTTCTATCAAAGTCTATAACAATTAATAATAACTTATTCAATATTAGATAATATCTCATCTTTAGAAGTAACTGTAACTGTACCAACTGTATATTACCTACATGTCCCACAAGCAGTAACAATTGACAAATGACTGACTTAGTGTCAATTGACAATTGTCATTGTTAACCTCAATATAAGTTCCCGCAAATTTCTCAACAAATTCGAGCATGGCCATGTGTTTCGGCAGCCGAATATAAATTTAAAAAATTCAATAAAAAAATAAATCTCATTTTACTATTTTCAACTTTTACAATTTTGAATTGATCTTTTTGTCCACTGTTCCAATGTATTACAAATTACTGATGTGTCTTGTGAATCAACCACTGTTACCATCTTTCAACGATCATTCTCACTGACATTGTATGTACTTTACTAATAATTTTACAGAGCCTTTTTTAAAGAAATTTTTCATAAATTGTAGCTCCCTGATGATGACAATATTCATTGTATATATATATATATATATATAGAGGAGAGGATTAGACGACTGTCTAAGTTAAGGATGAAACTGTCGATTTCCTTCGGGTATGCAGTCAAAGAAAAACAAAGTGTACTCTTGTTTCTGTTCAAGCTTTCGAGTCTTTATTGGCTCTTCATCAGGAACTGGAAAATGAGGTTTTGTTGAAGCTGGCTTCCATTAAGTGGGGAATAATACATGTGTAAAAGAACATTCACAACATGAAAACATCAATATTTTTGAAAGTTCCTGATGAAGAGCCAATAAAGACTCGAAAGCTTGAACAGAAACAAGAGTACACTTTGTTTTTCTTTGACTGCATACTCGAAGGAAATCGACAGTTTCATATATATATATATATATCGAAATATCGGATATGGGT